TAACAAAATTAAGTATTTAAGTGTTGTATGTTTTTTAATTATTAAATCTACTAATTTTCAGAACCAATTACAGTATCTTCTACAATTATTATTGAAAACGTTGACTTTTTAAGTAAGTTTTATCCAAAATTTAATTTTTAATTTACATCGATGGCGCACTAATGTCATTAAAAAATTAATTGACTATTTTCCCCACTTCCACTTTTAGATTTATTTAAAAATTACCAAAATTTATGCGCATTTGTAATGTGCATTTTATGTAAACAAAAAGCAAAGCAAAAAAACTGGTTACTTGTCGGAAATCGTTTAGGCTTTTCACTTGATATGTCAAAATGCCAAAACTTTGCACAGAAAACGTGGCCAGCCCCATGCCGATGCTGATGGCCGGAGTGGGGCATTAGGCATACGCCCTGTTGGCCACGCCACTCTCTTGGCCCGGCCAGCAAATCATTTAAGCGCCATGGGCGTGTGGTCTAAACAAACTGTAGTAAGGCGACCACGACAACGAATGGCCAACAGCTTATACTATACAGCTTCCTTCAAAGATCGCGACTCAGATGGCTTAGTTTTTATTTTATTTTTTGCCGCTTGCGTTAACTGCTGCTTTTTTTCTCTTCTCGTTTAGAAACATTGCGGATGCAGTCGCTCCAAGTCGGCAAGAAGTCGGTCCGGTTTTTGTCTTGGCCATAAATAGAGTTCGAGTTGATGTCGACGTGGATGGCGATTCAGTACGTTGCACAATGCACTTTCAGTTTCAGTATCGGATTCCGATTCCGATTTCAACTCCAATTCCAATTCCGACCCGTTCGCGGCAGCACATTGCTCATTTTCAAAATACGACAGTGCTATGTAATTCCACTCTTAATTGTATCATTATTTATTGTTCTAGATCCGCTTTTTGGAACCTAATTAGCATTTAATACGCTATCACTTTTGTTTGTGTCTCGATTGTCGCTAGATCCGTGCGCATAAATCAATAATCTGGTGAGCCCAATCGCCAGACAATCCACTCGAGGCAACCCAGACTCGTGGCAGCGAACTTGATCTAATTCCTTACCGAATCGCCATAAAAGTTGTTATGTTGGCCGTAATGATTATTTATATTTTATTTTTATCATTTTACGTTATTTTTTTTTGGTTGGCTTGTTGGCAAAAAGTTGTAAAAGGTTTTTGTAGTTTGGCCAGGTAGTCAAAATAAAACCATGGAAAAAGAGAATCGTTTAAACTGACAGCTCGTTACTTTTATGATGATGGTAGCTTGGAAAAGCAGTGAGGATAATGTTAATGCTGAGGTCAAGCTGAATGTTTTGAGCCCCAAATGTTTTCATAAAATCGTAACACAGATTCAAAAAGGTTGTATGCAGATCCATCAGATCAATAAAATTATTGTTTGTTGTACACTTAAGCTGTCGGTGTCCATAAACAATTATTTATAACTAAATTAAACACTTTAAGTGGTTTACAATATGAAAAGCTACAATTCGGACTTTAAACAAAACATCTTGAAATTTTTTATTTACAAATTATATTAAATTGTTTGTCTTTCTGAATTTTTTTTCGACCATTTAGCAGTTTGATAGATATTTTTACCAAGAGAATTATTATTTTGCAATACGGTTATGCATTTTCTCTGTTAGTCATCTTGTTGCAGGCAGCGTATTGAAATTTCCCAGACCGTTTTCCAGCTGGCATGTCATGTCGTTCAATTGCTTACAATTGTGTGAATAATCGCATGCCAGTCGACGTGAGTGAGTGAGTGAGGATTGCCACCCAACGCCAGCCGAGCTGTGGCCCTCATAAGCCCAATTATTATTTGGCTAATTTTGGGCCTCTTTGGCATACTCTGTGTATGGTACAAGTAGCCTAACCGAAACTCCAGAAACAGACCACAACAGCGTGCACAAGAGTCACAACAACCGAACATTAACACACTCCGAACAATTGGCCATAAATCAGCAGGGGGACACTGGGCTAACTGCAGTTATTGTTGTCGTTATAATCAATGAATTACGTCGCATCGGTTGACCACAATTTATGGCGACTTCGAACATGAGAATCCGCACGGCGAGTAAAAATGCAAACTGAACCCGAAGTCGAAGCCAATGCCGAAATGCAACTGCAGCAGCTTGCAGGTCGGGCAATGGGGGTCAAATCGCCCGGCTTTGATGTTGCAACCACATCCACAAACAACCTGCCACGCCTCTTTCTCTACACCCAAACCCTAGCCTCCCCCTCAATCGGAATATCTGGGGGATACGTCTGACAGAATTGTAACGTTCGTTGTTGTGGGCCAAACAGCTGCAAACTTGGCTCAGTTCCAAGTGGCCAAGCATAGAAAACCACACGAATTCAGCAGAAAGTAAAAGTATTTCAGGCAACAGGGGGAAATCCCTGAAAATACCAGGAAAAGCACTGGTTAAGGGCAAAATCAAAACAGCAGATCCAGTTTGCCAATTAACGCATTTGACTTCGTGTTGATTTTTAATTTTGTATAATCTGATAAAGCTAATGCTCGCACTAGAATATTTTATAGGAATATATATTCCTACGTTCTTTTTTCGAAAAGATTACATAAATATATGCAAATTTATTAATTTAAATGGAGTATATTGTAAATCAGGTCTGTCTGCCAATGACGTAGATTTAAATCAAAAAACGAAAGACATTTTTGGAAGCCAAAGATCTTTGTGATGTAAGAAAGGAGCTAAGAAATGTTAATTCTAAAAGAAAAATAATTAATTTACTTTGATTTTCTAATTTTATGCTTTAAAAAACTATGAGTTCTTTGAATAAATTAATAAGATTAAAAAAAGAAAAGAAGGTAGATTTTAGATATCAAGATATGTAAATTAAATTAAAAATTATTAGTAGAATATTTTAAATATGTTTTGGAGTTGCACTAATAGCGACAGCTGAAGTGTGATATATTCTTGATAGTTGTCAAACGGGTCAATAAGGAATAAACAATTAAAACTGTGCTTCCCAGATGCCGTGCCTCTGCAGAAAATAAACACGCTTTCAGACAAGCTTCATTTTATTGGTTCAGCCTTTAAAAGCTGAAAAGCTGAAATGTTGACAAAATGTTTTTTCGAATTGGGAAAGCTGCTTTTTATGCCGCTCGCTAAATGTTTGTTTTAGGTTGATTGCCTTTGTAGAATCTGAAGTAGACAATAGAAAATGCAAATATCTTTCTCGCCCGGCAAAAGGCAGACAATGGGATTAGTCAATCACGGTGCACGCATATCATTTGCCTGTCAGATGGTTAAAGCCGGAGTCCAACATCCAACAGGTTTCATTTTGCGCATTAACAAATAATTATGCTGGCAATTGCCAAATCACGGGCTCAGCCCGGCTGATATGTAATCTGATTTTGTGCAAATGCAGCGGCGAGGCAACTACTCCGACCCATAAAGGCCTTTCACTTTTGCGGCAGAGTGCAGATCTCACGCATGCCACCCGATCCACGATCACTGTTCCAGATGCCGATCCATTTGCAATCCCAGTCGGGGTTCCACACCGCAGAGTCTCCCGGCACTCACCATTCGGGTGGCCGAAAATCGAATACAAATATGAAACACAAGCCCTGAACCGCACCGTTATGCACCGCAGTTGCATCAGTTTTCACCACCCCCAATTGAAGACATCTTTTCCGTCATTCGCCATCAAAGAAGCCGAGAAATTCCAGCTACGCAGCTTCCGTTTTCACCACATCTGGGCAGGAAGTGCAAACTGGCAACCTGAGACATCTGAAGGTGCCCAGATAACCCAATAATGACATCAATTGAAATCAATACAACACATATTTTCTCCCTTGTGATATCTTTCTTTACCTTTCATGTTTCCTAGAAAATGCAAATCCAACATTTTCTTCGTTGAATTTTTATATTTTCTTTTTGTTTTGCTTAACACATATTTGGTTAGCTTATAAGAGCATTAATATTAAACGCAAACAATTTAACACGATACAGTTATTTTTAAATACATTCATAATATAAAGTCTTTATTTTTTTCTAAGAATATAACTCGATAATTATAATAAATTTAGGTGAATTGTAAATCGATTATTTGTTTAATTAAAACATAAATCGACACACTACGGTTAAATCCAGTTTTGTTATATTTATTTCAAAATAAAATTCCTTAGGCGTTTTAAAATTAATTTCACTCAAACAAAAATTATTGGGTTGCTTACTCTTTTGTTTATTGGGCCGCAAATTTCAAACGTTTTAATATAAGTTCTATAAATAAATGTCGCGATATATATTTTGATGAAGAAATGATTGCCCCTTTGCACATTTCCAGATTTATAGCTCTCTAATTTAATTTGCAATCCTGATTTATAAATATGAAATTAATAAGCTATTTTATTTTTGTTGCCTAATGGAATCAAAACAAAAGCTCAGAGAATTTGCATTAGGAGGAAACTATATTGATAATTTAAAAAATCAGGTTCGGACAAATCTTTTGACTTCTGAAACTTGCAAGTCAAAACATAACAATTTTGATGGACTTATGACCTTTTGCAGAGATATATTTTGGGAACAATATAGTATGCTAAGTCACCCGACGACTGCTTACCCAAATAACAAAAAATCTTAGTACGTTCTCTGGGACTTTCCCAAGATAAATTTCAATTCAAGCTTTCGTTAATTTATTTAATTTGCCTTTTTATGATACAAAAATATTTTATGAGCCACTTTCAAGACGGCGGCTAAAGTCACCAATACAGACAGAGCTGAGCAGCAAATGCTCGAGTATTGGTTGAGTGTCGATGTATTGGTGAGCGCTTCCGCTTGAAACTTTCCGAGCTGCACCAATACTATTGACTTGCCAACTAACATTGGCAAAAACCAAGCCGAGCTCAAAGCTTTCAAGAGAGCAATTTACCTGGCTTTTATTGGGAAAAGCTTTTGGAAACCGCTCGGCGACTTGGTTTGGCGGTGTTTTCAGTTTCGTTTTGACACAAAAACTCTTTGGGGGTATAAAAGCGCGCCACTGACCACAGACAGCATCCAGTCAAAGGTTTGGAATCGCTAGTGATTCTACGATCCTTCCACAGTCTATTTCGCTGTAAGTGAATCCAAATGCCAAGTTAAATTTTGTTTGTTTATAAAATACGTGTAAAACTCTATGTGAAAATTAAATTAAAGTTTAAGCAGTGTTTTGAAAAAGTTATACTGTGTCCAGACTTGTGCTTTAGTTTGACTTCCTAAAGAATGCTTCTTAAAAAATCTTTTTATTAGCTTAAGTTCTCCATTAATGCATTGTTAATTAAAATAATAATTGCAGTTTAAATTCAAAAAAATGATGATGTTTTTCGTATAAATAATTCAATTGTTTTCTTTGTTTATTTACAGCCTTGGCAAGTCCCAACAGACTCCACAATGAAAGTATTCGTAAGTACAATAGACATGTAGAAATTAATTTAAAGTAAGCCCATCAATCAGAATGCAAGAAATTCAATTTGATATGTAAATGGGTGCGAATGTGTGAATTAATGGGATTGGTAGCACATCTAAGTGTGGGAAATCTAGAAATCAAACAAAGAATTGCAATTGATTGCATTTAGAACAATCAAATCTTGAACTATTTTTTCATGTAGCAATGTAGCTGGGAATAATGTGAACTTTTTGCAATGCAAAAATAATAAAAGTAAGATATGGTTAACCTGGCCATCTTCAGTCACTTCCTTAAACAATACAATCCGTTCAATTGCATGAAACAAAGGTGAATTGCTCGCAAATGACCAACTTCAACTTGAACGACATGGCTAATAAGCGTCTATTAACTGAGCGATCATAATTGGAGTGCCAGCCACGTCTTGTACCGGGCCGCAATCAACTGGGTTCATGTGCTCAATTAAAGCCAACTCCAAATGCACTCGTCGCGTCCCGCACTGCGTATGCGTAACGTGACGCGGAAAGTAGGCGGCGGGCAGTGGAAGTGGAAGTGGGCGAAGTCTACTTTTAGGGCGTAACTCTGCACTGCATCACTTATTCGCGGCACGTACGAATTTCACTTGACCATTTGAATCGCAAAAGAGGGCGATGAGACAACCGACAACCGCTCAGCCGCGATTCGGGCGACATATCGCCTTCGCTTTCTAATGCGATTAGGTAACCGATCAAACTAGGCAATGGGTCATAAAAAGTCTGCCCGTCCGTTAGGTAATAGAGTTGCACATACTGTGGCAGAATGGGTTCAGAAATAATGGGGGGCTTTCAAAATAAAGAAAATGGGTAGTTAGTTAAACATTACAATGAGGTAATAAACCAAAAGATTCTTATGTTCTTATACTTATACTTTTAAAAGAGGAATGTCTCACATATTAAAATAAAAATCCAAACCAATACCATAAAATAAGAAGGTTTATTAAGGAAATATCAAATTAAATCAAGCCTTCGGGAAAAAATACATCTATTTAAAAAATTAAATAACCATTATTCTTACCAACTTAATTTTGGAAAAAAACCAACATAGTAGAAAATTAAACAATTGATACAATTTTATAAATTTATCAGAAATCGGACGAATTATTAGCGTATATAAACTCAAAATCTACACCGTTATTAAAAGAACTGATATAAGACAATGGGAAATATTACATTAATTAGATTGGGTTTTTGGGATGCCCTAGCCTATACCCACTCCTAATCAACCCCTTCATCCCCCGTTCCGTTGCAGATCTGCTTAGCCGCTCTGCTGGTGGCCTCGGCCTGTGCCAGCAAAACCGAGGGTGAGAAGGTGCCGCTGGAGAAGAAGCTGGACAAGCGCGGCCTGCTCGACCTGGGCTACGGCTACGGCCACGCTGGTCTGGACACCGGCTACCTGGGCCACGGCTCGATCTCCGGACACGGCAGCTACGGACACGGTGGCTATGGCCTGACCGGACACTCGGCCCCCGCCGCCATCGCTGTGGGTCACAGTGCTCCGGCGATCGCTGTCGGACATGCCGATGTCCACCACGTGCCAGCCCCCTATGTGATCAGCAAGCAGGCCGATGTGCACAAGACCATCACCATCACCAAGGGAATCCCGGTGCCCGTGCATGTTGACCGCCCCTATCCCGTGGTCCATGAGAAGCGTGTGCCCGTGGAGGTCAAGGTGCCCGTGCCACAGCCCTACGAGGTCATCCGCAAGGTGCCCGTGACGGTCAAGGAGTACGTGAAGGTGCCCGTGCCAGTGCCCCAGCCCTACGAGGTGATCCGCCATGAGAAGGTGCCCGTCCATGTGCCCGTCGACCGCCCAGTGCCCGTTGAGGTGCCCAGGCCCTACCCCGTGCCGGTGGCCAAGCCCTACCCCGTCTACGTGGAGAAGGCCGTCAATGTCCAGGTGCCCGTGCACGTGGACCGTCCCTATCCCGTCTACGTGAAGGTTCCCGTCGTCTCGCACTCCGTGGTGAAACACGCCCCCACCGTGGCCGTCAGCAGCTACCCGGTGATTGGACACAGCGGCTATGGACACAGTGCCATCGGACACAGCGCCATCGGACACGATGCCTCCGTGTACGCCGACCATCATGGCTACCACAAGTAAGAAGGACGGACGGACCGGAAGCGGAAGCGGGCGATTCCATTGGAGCGAGCGGACTACCTGGAAATGAGCCGAAGGATGTCTCTAGCAACATTTTCAATTCTCTACCAACTCCATCACCTCCTGCACCCATCCGAAACAAAAACCCTAAGCCCCGGGAAGTCGAACTTCCGCCCTGCCACTCTCCCCTGTAGCTGTTAAGAACCCAAGATGAACAACAAGCAATGCCTTTTGTAAATTATTTCCAATTCAGCCATCCAATGGAAGCCATTGTGCTGGGCTGAAATCGACAGGTTTAGGATAAATACCAGCTAACTGTTTGTAAATTTCACCACTTATGGACAGCTTAGCCGGCCATGTTTATCAGTGAAAGGTTTCGGCGCACAATGAATCGAATGGATAGCAACAGAAATATCTATGTGAAAATCTATTAAGGACAAATAAAAAATAAAATGTATAAAATAATCCCATTGCATTTGTCACTGGTTCGCTGCTGGAAATAGTTTATCATCGGCTTCTTTGTTATCGAATATCTTGTATATATATTTTGTAAATAAAGAGTATGTCGTTATTAAGCTGTGGTGTTTTTTAAACGGGTGGATTTTTGAAATAAAAATTATTTAGCACATAAATATGTTAAAGTTCAATTCTAAACACAACTATAATAACAACGGCTTAAAAAATAGGTATACATATATCCCAAAAAGAAAGTTGCAGTACTATATGTATCCAATGTTTTTTACCCAAATATTTAAATTTATTGTTGTTTAAGTTGTTGTTAAACCATTTCAAAGATATTTTCAATAAAAAAGAAGAGTTCCCAAAATAAATTCAAACTTTCCCAAGACCTTTCAATATAATATGAAAACTAAAACCATAACAATCTTATTTGCTAAAAAAAAAAAATACTTTCAAAATTCAAGGTGCTTAACAGGATACCAATAATTAATTTATAACAGTCAGAGGTTAATCCTTCATGCTTGTAATTAAGTGCCGCTTAAACTTTAATATATCAATAATACTTAGTCAAAATAAAAGGCCTTCCTGGTCTTTAATTCCGAAAATCCTCTCACCATGCCAGTCACCTGGGCTGACATGACCCAAATTGGCATTGCAATTGCATTCAGACGGAAGGAAATATCAAGTCGAGGATGCCACCAGCAGACGAGCTCATAGGCTAATCGATTACAGGCCAAGTCATGTAAAAAGTCGCGATCAGCTCTGATCAGATACATTTGCAGATGCAGATGCAGAGAAGACGTGAGCAAGGTCGTCGGAAAATGACGTGCACTTCTCCATTCCTATCCATTCCCAAGTCAACGTCAGTTGAGTTCATTTAAAAGTCGCTCGTAAATTTCGAGTAACATTTAGCCACATGCGTAGGACTGGCCGACGGACAAAAGAAGAGCAGACACTTGATATTTAATGTCGGTTTTCAGCTTTTTACGACAAGTGAACGAACTAAGCGGGGTTTTTCCTCATCAAATACCAAAATATCAACTTTCAAGCTGCAAAAACTTCTAAGCTTGGCATGTCTGCTTTTGATGAATTGAATCAATTAAGTTTAGGGCTACTTAGCATTTGTTTACTTCAAACAAGAATCCGGTTTGTCCATCTTACTTATTACCCAAACGAGGGCAATTAAAACAGTTTTTCTAAGCATGCTTACCATATATTAGAGATCAGCACATTTGTTTTCGGGATGATCCGTTTGTATTGTGTGTTTTAATGTGTAAGGCCAAAGCCCTGTGGATGACTTTGGTCTTCGATCCCAAGGACGCTGATCGCGCCAAAGACGGAACTGAAACAACTTTCTAATAAAAAGTCACCCGTTCTTGTTAATTTCTGACTTAATTTCCTTCGACTTCGATTTAGAAACAAAAGAGAGCCGATCCGTCTCTGGACAGAACCAGTTCCAGGCCAAAGAATTCATTTAGCTTTGGCCGAAGGTCGGCGACTTTGCGGACAGCATGAGCACACCATCCATTTGGGGGCGTGGCAGGTGCCCGTGCTGCACTTACATGCACTCGTAATTCTGTATTTTCAACCATAATTTGTTACGAATTATATTCCGCTCTTGACAATTGCCACTCGTAGGTGTTGTGCAAACGTGCATATTCCCATTCTTACACCCATATACCAACATTTGTTTCGTTCTTGACTTGGTTTGTGTTTCGGGTTATGCAACGCTTGCAATTACAAAGCGGATCTCTCTATCAAGCTTAATTGTCGCCGAGCTTACGGTCTAATTACTTCAAATTAGTTTGAACAAGAATTCCCCATAGTAATTAAATACAAAAATATATATTAATGGTTAATAATTACTTTGAATGCATAAAGATTGTATCAAAGGGTACTACAAAGTCATGGATTTCTCTTTAACTTAAGGGCCTTTGCTTCACGTGCATGGGTTCGCACTTTCAAAAGTTATAATAACGCATTAAACAAATTTTTTGCTATTGTATTCATAAATTTCTTGTCATTTACGGAATCGTCAACAATAAATCTTTTTTTCAATTACTTAATATTATCGTAAATAATTAATAAAATCAAAGTTAATTTTGAGCTCCACAAATGATTTTACCTGAATATGCATAAGTAACATCCGCGATATCAGCGAAGCTCATAACTGGCGCACTGTCAACACATAAATCATCAGTTTATGTATCCGCCCATAAACGAAAAAGAGATCCCACACACGCCGCATTGATTGGGTCCCAGACATCCGAAGGAATTGCCTGAGTTGCTGCATTTACGCAATGATAGCCATTCCGGCCGAGAGACAAGACAACAAATTGCGCCAACCACCAATGGTGGCCAATTAAAAGCATATTTCTTGCACCGATCGGTGGGAACGATTTGATGATGGGGGAGGTACGCATATTTGCTGAAGCTTAATTAATTGCCACAAAATGATGGAGACACAATCGCAACGGCGGACGACAAGAGATGGAAAGCTGAAACCGCATTTTCGCAATTCTCTGAGAAAAGGCCACCGAAAGACGTTCCACATGTTGCCAAATGCGAGACTTTTGCTCTAATGAACGACCATCCAGTCGGTTGCGTTTTGAAGGTCACCACCAACTTGTCCATCGCCAAAATCCAAGTCGAATGCGTCTGCAACGTCAAACAGTTGTCGACCGATTGCGAAATGAATTGGTTTAGTTTTAGTATTTGATTTTTTTTTCCTTTTTGCTAAAATGCCTGTCTGTTTGCCAGCAGTTTGCACAAAAAACCTGCACCAGTTTCTCGATCACAAAACTCAAAACCCCAAACCGAAACCAAAAACCGAAACTCACATTGCAAACAAACGTAATCGAAGTCGCCGGTGCGCAAGTCAAGTGAAGCGAATATCTGAGGCAATCTGGAAATCCCAGTGACTCCTATCCAATCCGAGCCCCCTCCAAAGACCCTCCCACAAGATCCCCCCTATATCGTATCGTATGTGTCTTCTGTTGCTTCTGCACAAATGCTTGCCGGTTGATTTGGACGGCCAACGGCAAACGAAATCATTTTTATAGCCACAATGCAGCTGACATGGTGCATGATCGCATTTTAGCTAAATGCTAAGACTGTTGACCCCAACGGCGATGAGTTGTAACTCAAGACAGTACATCAGAAAGCTACGAAAAACTATAAAAAAAATAGGCATGATTTATTCAGTAATTACATATTTTACTGCTTCTTCAAGTTTTATGTTTCAGTTTTGTAAGCTAACACCATGGCATTTCAGTTAAAGTTTCCATTTAATTTAATTAAAAAACCACCCTTATAACACAAAATAAAAAAAAATTTTTTTTTTTGTTTTTCTTCAATTTCGCCACATTATGTTGCCATTATGAAAATCACCATAATTTATAGCAAGGTGTTATTTTTAAATATAGAAACGACATCACTAAACAAAAAGAGTCGTTGTCTACAATTTTTTCGTAATAAAAAGTTACTTTTAATCTAATGGATCGACTACCTAATTTTATCTATATATTATATATGTTTTATCAAATTCAAAAAATGCCATCTTTTCCATCTATGCTGCAGCCATAAAAAACATTTCTTGTTTTCGATTTTTTCTAGATTTAGCCAATTAAAATAGTATTATGGCTGTCATAGTAAGCAATTAAACACTTTAACTTATAGCAATAAGTTATTTTTTAATAAAGAAACGACAAAACTAAACAAAAAGTTTCGTTGTCTACATACATTTTTGTCAAAAAAAAAGTTACTTTTAAATTAAAGTGTCAAACTCCATAAATGCTATCCTTTCCATTTATGCGGAGCTCCAGATTATATCTTGACAGCGAGTTATGACTTCTTGGACTCCTTGACTTCTGCTTAACTACCTGACCGTACCCATCTCCGCCCCATCTAATACATTCAAATTGCAAACAATTAAGCGCACAGTTGCTACCGCATCGCATTCAATCCGATTATGTAATTCCTCTTTTGAATTATGGCCGTAAATTGTGGTCTGGTCTGGCCTAGTCTCTCGAACACGGGTGTGTTTTTTCCCGCACGAAAACTGCGCGAATCCTTTCACCTGCGTCCAGCAAACGAAACAAAAGACTCAGGCAACGAACTGGATTCCCGCGCGATTTATCCCCATTCAACTGGCATTTCCGTATTGAAAGTGTTTCTCTGGGCCTGTGGACACTCCTTCAAGTTCTCTATCTATCTTTGGTGAACTGTGTCAAACGTTGGCCAACAAAGTTGGGCCAACGCCTTTATAAGGGCATGGCAGACCCAAATTGAATAGGAAAATCTCTTGGAAAATCTCTTGGAAAACATCTTTCCCAAAAGCCAAAGAAATCAAACAGCCCCAGCGGCAGATTCCCAAATCTGGCTGCAGCGGTGACTGCAGGAGTCCAAGTCCAGCAAGCCAACTACCATGCTGCGACTTGCTGCAGCTGCTCGAAAAAGCGATACTTTGGATAAGTTGCATAATTTTTGTTTTTGCATTTAGGCAATGTTGTTGTTGTTGTTGCTGCTGCTGCTGTGGCGGCTTTTGGAGTCACCCAGTTAGTGTGTCACTGTGACATTTGCAGCAAACTGGCTCCGTTTTCTGTCCATTCATTGTCTTCTGTGGGATAGCTGCTGTTGATATTAGTAATTTTTTATTTCACAAAGTCGACTCGAGTCATGACATGTTGTTGCACTCGAATCATATGGCTAATTTTTCATTGATCCATGTGGGCGTGACAGGAGTGTACTTGACTAAATGTCAATCGAGCAATTGAAGCTGTCTGTTAGTTTGGTTTAGTTAGGCAAATTAAGTTTAAAAGAAACAATAGTCTTATTAAGTAGAATTTTTATATTTGATGTTTAACCAGTTAACAATTATTTGATACAATTACATGTAGACCTTTAGAATTTTCATTTACATTGTTAAGCAGAATGGTTTTTACCATTTTAGAAATATAAATATAACATATTCATTTTTTTATTTGATTAATAATTTTAAAGACATT